ATCTAATAATATTTGAATATTAGTATCTTTTATAAATCTTGTATATAAATAGAGTATTGCTATTTCTACTTTCAAAAATATATAACTTGCCTTTGAAAATTTTGAAGCGGTCACATCATCGTCTACTATGTCGTTAAAACTGTTATTCCACAATTTATTGTGCCAGCCATATAGAATGTCCTGAATGATATTATTTAACATGTGCTTAGCTTTAATAGCGGGGACTGAAACAAAGTAATATGACAAATAAATATCCATTAAACTCTTATAAAGAAAACTAAAAATTCAGAACTAAGTCAAACCATTGTCGTCATTTTCATATATCCACAAAAGTCGTTGATGTGGAGTAAAATCTAACGGATTTCTTGTTGAATTTATTAGCATCCAATCACGAAATTCAGATATCTTGCGAAAAGTTGTGTTATATTCATCCTAAAGAAATATGAAAATATGAATAGGTTGCAAAAACATAATTAAAAGTAATTTAAAGTAATTTAGAAAACACGAACGTTTATAAATTTAAATTCCTGAGCAGCAGTAAATTGAAGCTGACTGATAATTTGCATTTCGTAAATAACACTCCAAAAATCCATTATACAATTGAACGGCTCACACGGGTCTTGGCGGGAAAGTTTTACTTTGCAATTAATAGTCTTTGGATGAGAGGTAGCAAGCTTTGTTCGAATATGCTAACATTCAAAAATTATGAGGTCTTAGAATTGAGGACATGATATGGCTCATAAACTTCTTTTAAATACCTCGGGAATCTTCTTTATAGAATCCAATAATTTATTAGAGTCAGCATCCGTGCTTTCGTCAAGGAAGTATAATGTGGCAACAGCATCAATCAGCATTGTTTTTATGTTATCTTCATCTAAAAAAATTAAAAATAAAGTTAAATTAAATTAAACTTGAATGTAAAAAAAAAAAAAAAAAAAAAAAAAAAAAATATATATATATATATATATAAATATATAAATTATTTTTATTATTATTATTTTTATTTTTTTTTATAAAATCTAATTTAATTTAAAATGAAATAAAAGCTATATTAAAAATAACTCCAAAGAAAAAC